TTTTTATTTTTTTTAAAAACCATGTATGATATTTTTATATGCACACTTTTCTTTATACTATTATTTTTTTAATAATTTTTATCTCTTTAATCGTTTATTAAATATTTTTTTATATTTTATAATTTATTAGTTGAAGTTTTATATAAGAATATTTAAAACTTCTTAATTTATTCAGTCTCAATTTTTTTTTCATTTGCATTAAAATTTAGTATATTTTTAGGTTGAAAATAAAATTTAAATCATTTGAAAGAAGAAAATAGAATAGTGCATTTAAAAATTTTTGTATTATATAATATTTATAAGTTTTTCTATATTTAAATTAAATTTGAATTGCATTCTAATGTGTATATATATATATTAATATTTATTTATGTTTTTAATGTGTTTTGCTTTAAATGTAATTAATTATTTAATTTATCAATTTTGGATGTACCACATGTCGCTCTCTCCATTGCTGATGTGTCAGTCAGCTGAAGAAAATTGATTGTCTTTTATATATAAGATATTAAGTTACATGAATTTTTAATTTAAAACCAATTAGTAATAAATAAATTAGTTCACATTATTATTTTATTTTTTAATTTCTGATGTAGGATATAATTGCTCTGCGCAGATTTTGTTTAACATAATATTTTATAAATATATTTATATTGATATATATATACATAATTAATTATAGTATGATAATTTGCTTGATTGTTTGGTATTAGTTTTTTTAAAACAAAATCTTTATTAAATAAATAATTTTTTTTAGGATTAGAGGTAGGATAATTAGGGAAAATGATCTACCATTTTAGAAATTATAACCATGATATGAGTAAAAAAAAAACAGAGATAAAAGTCACATTTTTTGGGTTAATTTGCTTGAAAACATATAATTAAGATTTAGGTTGTCATGAGTTTAGAGATAACCTGCGGAATAATGGAATTGTGTTTTTAAACACGCAGATTTTTCGCAACCTCTTTAAACCGACTTAACATATATCTAGAGCAAGCTCCAAGATCATAAAATCAAATTTAATTTGTTTTTTTTTATTTTTAGTGAGATTGAATTTTTCTAGCAGAACATCAGGACTAAAAAATTGAAAACAACATCTTTTCTTAGATGAAAAACTTAAAAAACGAAAAAGATGAAAAGATATGATTGAAAATATAGATGTTTCTTGAAAGAAAAACTGATGCAATTTCTTATATGAAATTTAAATTTAATAAATTGAGAATTAGAATAAATGCCATTAAGTTTTTTTTAAAAATGGACACTTCTAGAGTACTGATATGGCGAGCTGTGGGAAATGATTCACCTTTTTTCATATATATGATTATTTTCTGAGATCATAATTCTGAGATTCACTTCAAAAATTTAGATAGTAAAAGTATCAGATATCATAGCAAGGTTGTTCAGATCCGGATTAATCTACAATTAAAATGATTCACTTGAAGTTTTATAGAAACTTATAAAGATTTTCATCTTTTAAAAAAAAAATTCAAAAATTGCTTTCTCAAATAGAAACAATGAACGTTGTTCACACGTAAAAAAATTATAAAAACTTGAGAATTGAAAATTTGTTATCATTTTCAAAGGTATGTGTCATCGGTGAGTTTTTTTTTTCTATTATCAATTTATGGATATTTCTGAAAGATTAACTAACAAAAATGTGTAAACAAGGGATATTCTATCACTTTAGGTTATCCAAGTTTTTAAAGCTGTAGAAGAACAACCAAAACGGAGTAAAAATGGCTCAGGTGAGGTGGAGCGATAGGCCCAAAGGTCACATGACAAACCAATGGTGGTTTCAAATTTTCAATGAAAGTGCACCAAAGGGACACTCCTTGCCACGTGATCGGTGGGCTCATAGGGTAGAGCCATGGACCCTCCTCTATTCTGGTCCCTCTCCTCTATTCGATGGAAATTTTAATATAATTTTATATAATCGAATTTTTATTGTTTTTTTTTTAAGAAAAAATTCACTTTCAGTTAAATTTAAACTGAAAGGTTTCAAAGAAACCCCGCAGGATTACAACACTAATTTTTCAAATCAAGCACAATGATCTGCATACCAGAAAATGAAGGAATTACTAAGCTAGCAACAAAAAACAACAAACTCAAAACATAGAGAACCAAGAAGTTAGAACTTAGAAGTGAGACTGTTGATGGAGTATTTGGCTGAGCTCGCGACAACGGATCGAGTCTACAACGAATTGTTTGCTTGATCGCTGTAATGATTGCAGATGCCAGAGTTGAGGTGGATGTGTGAAGTCTTGCATTTCGTTCCCTCCATATCCCGTATAAGGAGGCTTGAAAAACAAGTCTTAAAATCAGAGAGGTGTTACCATCGCGAGAAGGAGAGATAAATCAAAGCAGACAATAAATCTGCAGGAGGAGTTACACTTGCCGCAGAATAGAATGTGTGTAGTTTTTCATTTTTTCATTTTTTTTTTGTTTGATTTTGTTTTGGAAAAGTTTTTCATGTGATGGTTAAATTTAACAAATAAAAATAAATTTTAATTTATAGATAATTACAATTTATGCTTTTCAAATTTACGAATAAATTTCTGCATATTTTTTAACTTCTACTATTGATATTATCAATATATCGCAAATCAAATATGAATTTGTTTTTTTACATAAATCGAATATGATCATTTATTATAGTTTTTTAGAAGATTAAAAATATATCAATCACACTAATTTTTTTTACAGTTTTTTTAACATTAATAATATATTGATCTCTTTTGTCAAAAAATATATTGATTTCATTTATTATACATATCACACATCAAAATAGATAATAACATTGTATAGAAATGATAGTAGAAGCTCATTTGTCCAATGATTGATGAATGATTTATTACTGCTTTAACATTGAGAGATTTGAGTTTCAAATCTCAAAAAATATTCTAACGTGTGTAAAATTATCGATGTAATAATTTTTATAATTTATAATAAAATAATAGATCATTGTTAATATATATATATATATATATATATATAAATATGATATAGATCCTTCCACTTATTAGTTATTAGTTACCTTCCACTTAGAGCAGGTCCAACGCGGGGTTCATGAAAGTTTATAAGTGGGGTCATAACCCATAATTGATTTAAAATAAATCAAAAAGTCCAAAATTGTTATGAACCGCTCCTTTAGAAAGGATTTTTAGAGACGGTTTAAGAGGGGTTCATATGCTACGTGTCAACAATTTATTGGCTAGGATATTTGTTTTTTCTTCTCTTCTTCTCTTCTTCCTCTGCTTGCGGGGTCAATTTCAGAGGAACAAACAATCATTCCCTCTCTTCTTCTCCATCTTCTTCTTCATCTCATCAACTCTTCTCCTTCTCTTTCTCTCTCCCCCGACGGCATCTCCCTACTCTCTCTCAAATCCGCCGTCGATCAATCTTCCATCGCCTCCTTCTCCATTTTCTCCGATCGAAACGATAACGACTCCGATGCTTGCCATTGGTCCTGTATCTCCTGTATGAACATCTCCGACTCCTCCGGCTTTCGCGTCGTCGGAATCTCACTCGCCGGAAAGCGTCTCCGCGGTTATATCCCCTCGGAGCTCTGCTCGCTAATCTACCTCTACGGGAACAATCTCTCTGGTTCTCTGCCTCCTTCGATCTGTACCCTTCCTCTGCTTCATAGTCTCTTCTTCCTCTGCTTGTGGATTCATTTTGATTGTGTTATCAGTGATGATAACTTATCAGAACTTGTTGGTTTGAATCAGAATAGTTTTCGTATGTTTTCTCTATGTCTAATATCAATTATAAACCCCACATAAGAAGTTCACCATTGGAAGAACAAATTTAGGAGTTCTAGCTTTTTATTTCTGAAAATTTTAATAATAAAATATTATGGATGAACTCTATGAAGAGTTCACCATTGTGGATGCTCTTATCTTTTATTACTATTCAATGTTAGAGTTAACAACTCATAATCTTATGTGAACAAGAGTTAATCAGTTTACTTAAAACTCAACTGGTACACGAATAGAAAGAAGAAAACGATAAATAGAAATATTCGTAATGCGCCGAAAACTATAAAATGTACTAATGGAATCTCATAATGAGTGATGCCCACATAAATTACAGGGCCAAGTGGCCAACTATCATTACTAATTACAAACGTTTCGACTCTTCATTGGCTACGCTGCCTCAACAAATCAAATGAAAGACACTTTTTTGTATTTCATCTAAAACCCGTAAACAAAGAAAAATCTCATCTGACAAAAAGTCAAAACTAGATCGAGTAATGGTGTACTAGACACCAGAGAGCTTTTTTAAAACTTTTTTCTAAAATACATATTGTAGTCCCCAAATTTCCAATAGATTTTTCGCTGTTTAGGGACAAAAATGCAAAAACAAAATTGGCAGAAGACTATGAAACTACTCCTTAATGATTTACTGAATTAGAGAAAGGGGACAATGCACATGCGTTATTTAATGAATTTCCTTGAACAAAAAAAAGAAAAAGAAATGATAACCAGTGAATTAAAAAAAAAAAAAAGATATCACATAAGTTAAATACTATATGTTGGTTTCAGTGTGTTGGCTAAAGAAGAATTATAAAGAAAGTCTTTGTTAACTTTTTAAAAAAGAACTCAACTCAATCAAAATGGCCGACCCTAGGAAAGCTAAACCAAAAATAGCCAGAGAATCCAATTTTAGTAAATCATACAATTCTTACAAATATTTTTGAGAACAAGTGTTGGCCTAGTTTCAAGTCTTGAGTCTAGACATATGGTCTAAAACTTGGAATCCATTTGCGTGAGTGAAATTAGTGTTTAAGAGTAATTTTGAGTTAAAATCAGAACGAACTTGCTTTTATGACAAATATTTTGATGGCGTTCTGCTCTGAACCTTATTGGTTCTGAATACTTAAACACAGACCAGATCAATCCAATGAGCAAGAGAACTTCCCAATCCGGTTTATAGACACATTGGTTATTGGACATAGAAGTTCCTATAGCTTTAAATGATTTATGGATCTTATAAACATGAGTAAATGCAAAAACTTCAATAGAGATATTCTGGACTGAGTTAACCAACCCAACCTAAAAAGGGCTTATATTACAAACAATGCACAAGAATCACCTTCTTGGCCCTAAAAATGCAGAGGTAACATTTATATAAACGTCAAACAAAGATGATTTCAACCATACCGCCTAAACTGATAAGAAGAACAATTTAGTCTGGACCAAGCTGAATTAGTATACCGAATTGAATCCATAAAGAAGCAAGATCTCAAGCACTATTCTTAAAGAAGGTATCATCATCATCAATGATCAAACATTGGCGTTCCCTCTTCTTTGGACCGGCTTGTATATCACCACAGTGACATACTTTGACCTAAACCGATGCGAGAAACCGAGTGCTACAACAGATCTTGGGGCTTCTCGGTTTTCGATATAGAGGTGGTTCAGGACAACATTTTGTGGCTCAGAAGCCAGTTCCATGCTACCTGTATTGCCTAGCAGAGTGTGTTGAAGGTGTGGCGGTACAGCTGGAGGATCTCTTGTCTCATCTTCTGCTGCTGAATACACATTGTTGTAACTGGATACCGGTGATTCGGGTACTTCAAATCCAGCAACCGTTGTGCCCTCCTAAAGTTTGATAAGTAGATCAGAGAACAAAATTTAAGCGAGGGAGGCTAGAAGTTACTCGGTTTTGTCTGTGTTCAAGATGAGAATACTAATAAAAAATTTAACTTGCTTACATGATCATCAGGATGCTGATTGTTCATGTTGAAAAAGATTGCCTCCTAGTGCCTGAAACAAATTTAAACGCAATAGCATGAGAACAAACCACTGGAAGTCGCACACAATTCAAGTGCCATTCAAACTTTTTCTTGTAAACTTTGTTTGAATCTTGCAGCTTGATTAAAGAAGAACACTAAAGCAAGAAATGAAAACAATGATATTCATCCACAATGATGCAAACTCTTATTTGTGTGCAGTGTAAGACTTTGTGTAACTGGCATCAAAGAATTTCTAAACCAAGACAAACCTAAGGATCCAATAGTGATCATTTACAACAATAGAAACAAGTTGCCTTGAATCAACAAACAGTAGAAAGTAGTTCTTCTTCCACTCGCGGACTAAAACTACAACATAATTATCCCGTACATGACGGAATTGATAATATAAGGGATTAACCAATATCTGAATTCATTGCACGGTTTTTATCTGACTAATGTACGAGCTAGAGACCGTTTAAACCTATAAGGAAACCATATTGTTAAGCTTTTATGGATCCAACATTTCCAAGACAGAACCATGAAGTATTTCCTAACACGAGAAACTAATCCATGAAGTCCTCACAGTTCAAGTGATGATGTAGAAACTAGCCACTTAAAGGTTTTAAAGAGTATCAGAGATTTGAGGCTAGAGGATAAAAATTCACACAAAAAATCAACCGGAAGATTCAATCAATAGAGAATGAAAGACTGATTGCACTTATACTGAGCCAATCTGATGAACAAAACTGAAACACACTACTACTAAGTCTAAAGATACATAGCAACCACATTAGACAACTGAAACACACTACTACTAAGTCTAAAGATACATAACAACGAACACAAAAATCAGAGGGTTAAAATATGACCTGGAGTCTATATTCTCGGATAAAAAACTTACCTTTTTGGAAGCTAAAACCTTCAATTATATTTATAACGTTTCGAAAACGCAGCAGCAAAATGGACTTTACACGATTCCTATAGCGATGATTTTCACAAATCCTTAAAAACCCAACAAAAAAATCATCAGTAACGACGACGACGACCCATCAAAAAGATAATAAAAGAACACCAACCTCAAAGAAAACCCTAGAAAAATCACCGGAAAATCCCTGAGCTAATAGTGAGGAATCAGCAGCAAAAGATGAAATTTTGAACAATGGGTATTCGAAGTTCTTCGAAATCAACGGAGAATTCGTAATCAGACAGGGAGATTGTCGAACAGTAGAGAGACGAAATAGAGAAAGGCAGCGAAAGAGAAAAGGTTTTTTTTTTTTGGTTTTACCTAAAGTATTGATTGTTGAATGATTGATTTATAGAGCTCCAACGAGATTGTCTTCGTGCTCAGATCCTTGGAACGGTGACGAACACAGACTGCGACAAGCATCAGCTTTTTGTTTTGCTTATTGGCTCAAAACTTTTGCTATACTGAGAAAACAATTTCTTTCCTCTGAAAATGTTTTTTTATTCTTTTTCCAGGGAAACCATTTTACTCCTCATTTTCTTTTAGTTCCCAATAAAATAAGGGAAATTATTTTGTTTTGTATTTTTTGGGCAACTAGGGAAATTATTTCTAATAACACAAATTTCTATATTTGAAACTTGACCCAAAAAAAGAAGCAATGATACCTAGTTTTCTTCATAATATTTAAACTCTATTTATAATCATAAAATTTTCATATAGTTTAATTTTCAATTAAATTATTCAAAATTCGAATACCAATTTCCCAAACTCTTTTAGCAACGTAAGTTTCAGAGGTGCTTAGAGTAATAGCTAGACCAGAAGTGTGACCGGTATTTTGATCTTTATCATCGGATCTTTTACAAGCTTTAACTAGTGTTAGTGCTTCGAGATGAAGATTGATCAACCAAATTTCAATAAAAATGCTTCTCTTATAACTAGAAAATCAATGCATATGTGCAATTTCATTCATTACGTCAGCATGTCCAATGTTAATAAATATTTAAGAAATCAAAAATGTTTTTAGTTATATAGTTAAACAATGTGGAAATATGATTTAATTCAACTATTTCCACAAATAATCATTTTCCAACTAACAATTTTGTTTAATAGATTTTTTTTTGTATTTTTAGCCAAAACACATTTACTTTCAACTACACATTTTTTAATCAGTAAAATACAGACTAAATCACGGTTAAAAAATACAATTCCATCGGTCCAAAACTTTCCAATTCAAACTTTACTATCTTTTTTTTTTTTAATCGTCTATTACAATTGACAATCTACCCATTCCAAATAATTCATGCAGTCCGCCACGAATGACGTTCTTTGTACAATGCTGAAAATTTCCTTATAAACTTGTCTCCATAATAACCTGTAGAAATCGCATATTCTGGGAATCAAATCCCAAACTTCCTGGTATAGAAGTATTAATTAATCTTTAGTCGACCACTGGACTAAGTAACTTCCACAAACCTTACTATCTAGAAAATAACATAACCGAAACCCGGAAACAAAATATATAGCCAAGTTTAACACACAAAATTTCATCTAAATCTGCAGCAGGAGGATTATTTACAAGATGGAACTTATTTCAAGTTTCGAATCACCAGCGGGAATTAAAGGTCAAACTCTTGGCCCATTAGCATAAAAGCCCACTCCGACAACAAGGCCCACGATCCAAAAATTGTCAATTCTCACGCTACCTACAATGACCATGCCCGGTGTCATGTGCTCGACGATCCCATAAACTTGACTTTCAACTTTCCCCTTTCTCGTCACCGCCACCGAGAAGCTTCCCTGCAACAGTCACAAGATTACAGAGAAGGGTTTTACACGACAAGTATGTTAATCACTAAAGCCACGGATTTATTTAACAGAGCTTGTAGTTTTGAGTCAGATTAGTCTAGAGTGGCTATAGTTCTTTGCTTTGATCTTAAAACAGCAAAACGAAAGATAAAGAGCAGACTAGAGAGAGGTTTTACGTCACCTTTTAAAGATGGAGTTTCTTTTTCTGCTTGTTCAAAAAAGAGTTTGGCTTTGTGTGCTACTTCGGCTTCAAGAACTGCCTCCAGCATTAAATCAGATCCTCTTACACTCTCTGCAACCAAATGAATCAGGAGATAAAGTTTCGATCTTTTTTCACTCAAAACATTTGGAATGAAAAGACGCAAGGAAGAGATAGAAATTCTTTGTACCTTTGCGATGAGGGAGCAACTTTGCCATTTCAGCTGAAACTGGAAGAACATGTGAGATGCCTGAGTCGCTGGTTAGAGACTGACTTTGGCCACTGACTGTCTCGGATAATCGTGCAAATGTTGTTGCTTGGGCGTGTAGGTTAACTGAAGCCGACGAGGACGAGCCACTAAATTCTTGAGCCTTATGGACATTAAAAAGAGAAAGAGTGTGAATGGCACCAACTATATATATATATATAAAAAAAAAAAAGAGAGATGATAACATTTATAAAAAAAGAAGACCTTTCTCCAATGATCTGCACTCTTCTGTCTTTCTTCAACATTGACTGATGTAACATTCCCTACAAGAGGACAGAACCAGATACAGGAAACAACCACAGAAGTAACAAGAAGTTAAAAAATGTAGTGAGTGTTTGATTTATAGTTATACCATTGGTGCTTGGATTAGATTCTGGAGAATAATTGTCCACTCGTCGAGTCAAAGGATTGGAATTAAAAAGAGAGAAACTTGCTCCATGGCTAATAGCGTCCACTTGTGCTCGCAAATCTTGAACTTCTTTCGAAATCTAAACAAGTATATGAGAGCAAGCAAGAATGAGATACACAAAGCCAATTTAAATACAAACTAATTTATCTACCATTCTTCTACATACAACCCTCAAATCCACTACAAAGTCCCTTCTCTGATTCAAGATTTGATATTGAGATCAAAACAATGTTGGAAACTGGACAAGAACAGAAAAAGGAACCTCTTGCATTTGAGGCTGCTTCATGACACCGTCTATGTGACCACGAGCCATTTGAATGTAGCCAATTGCTCGTCCAAATAATCTTCCTCCTGCTCTAGCAATAATAGGAAGATCCTTTGGCCCTGTAAATCAGAATTCACTTGAGTCAAATAATCTGTAATCTCTGAATCGAAATTATTTCTACGAGATTAAAGAGACTAACCAACAACAGCAGCAGTGGCGCCGATGATGACTAGAATCTCACCGTAAGAGAGACCAAGCATTGCTTCCTTCTCCAAAGCGTTGCTTCTGCTGCCAAGTCACAAGAGAGACAGAAACAGAAGAATGGTTAGTGTTTTAGGAAACATGTCTGATACTAAATCAGTCTTACATGGTCTTGAGAATGAGTCTGATCAAGCATAAAGCTGGAAAAACAAAGACAATTATTACTATTTCACTGAAGCTATAAATGAAATAGTTTGTTCAATATATACTCTCTGTGCACTGAAATGAGCCCAGATTTTTTCATTTAGATTTCGGTTGATTTGGTTTCAATCAATAAATAGACGAACAAAGTTACCGTTTTTATTGATCTATAACGTAATATAAACCTTCATAACAAGATCATCCAACAAAAATCACACCAAAACAAAATTGAGCATGAACGTAAAACTAGTTTACAACATACGGATTAGAACAAATAGCGAGAGACAATCAATTCGATTTCAGAAAATTAACAACGAGTTAGAAAATATAGCAAGAATCAGAAGAATTCTTAATACATGGTTTTTTTTTCAGAAACCTACCTTGAAAGAAAACGATTCGAGTATAATGTTCAGATGAAAAGCTTGAAATGAACTTCGGAGTTCGAAAATGGTGAATCAATGAATGGCATCGGCAGATGCAAATTTGCTTCGATATAAAAATTCGTCGTCTTCTGTCTTCTTCGGAGATATCTGAAGAAGTTGATTAGAATTGATTTCCGTTGGATTTAGGGTTCTTAAATTTAAGTGATCGATTTCGAAGTTGTGTCACTAGAGATTTATTTTTGTTAGTTCAAACACAAATAATAATAATCGACGTCGTACACTTCGGGTGACTGGGTTATCGGGTCGCACCGGGTTGACCTGGGTTAACCGGGGGCGAAAATCAATTGTGGTATGTATCATCTAGCTAGATCAACATCTTGAATTTCAGAACCGAATAAGTTTGAATCATCAAAATGATAATTATTCTTCTTCTTGATCTTAAACCGCATATGCAGAAACTTTTGTACACGCATCTATATCCCCTTTAATATCAGCAAGATGGTGTTTCATCCGATTAATATTACCTCATAATTTTTTTTCTTTGTGACAAATTCCACATTTTAAAATCTGTTTCTTCTTGAATCCTTCGATTGAATCACATAAGACCAATTAACATCATTGTTTCCTCGGATTGTTAGCCAATAACAAAGCCATAAATGAGAAAGAAAGACAATGTTGTGCCGATTAAAAAAATATTTTTTATTCATAAAAACTTAAGATAAGGAATGTATTAAATATATTGTTTTTTTTGGTTAACACAAAATAAAATGACATAGTTTAGAGAATTTTATCTGAATACTTATTAGAAAGGTAAATCTTCGGATTCAGCTGGAGAGAAAGGAACATTTCTTTTTGACCGTTGCAATTAGCCACTTTTGAACCTTTTTCATCTTCTCAAGACTCTTCCACTTCTCTTCTTCTTCTTGTAGTACGCCAGAGGAAAGGCTAGCTTATCAATACTCTCGTGCAGAAGAACCAGCTTGTCCTCAAGCTGAAAGTCTGAGTACTGATTTGCGATCCTGTTAAGTATTTCCCAAGAATTCTCAAACGCTGTTAGCCTTTTCCACTTGACTAACACTTCTGGCTTTCCCTTGACAGAAGATTTACGTATGTTGAGCAGATCCTCCGGTTCTGTTTTCCACTCTAACCCTGCTGTGAGAATTGGAGGAATCAGCTGTGCTTGACCCCCTAACGAGACTGCCTACTTCAATTGTGACACATGAAATACTGGGTGAATAGCACTCTGTGGGGACAACTGCAATTTGTAGGCTGCTTTCCCGACCCTGCTCAGCACTGTGTAGGGCCCAAAGTACCGCGGTGCAAGCTTCTTATTTCTCCTCAATGCTACTGTCGACTGTCAGTAAGGCATCAGTTTCAGGTAAACACTATCTCCCACTTGGAACTCAACATCACGCCGCTTCTTATTTGCAGAGTTCTGCAGTTGTTTCTGAGCCTTTTCTAAGTTGCTACGCAGCTCAATGATCATGTCCTCTATGTCTTGAATCATTTCATCTACAGCTTTGTTTGTAGAGAGAATGTCCTTGTACCGCAAGAGCCTGGGTGGATCACAGCCATACAATGCCCTGAAAGGAGTGTGTTGGTCAAAGAATGGTAGGAAGTGTTATACCATAGTTCAGCCCACGATATCCACTGACTCCAAGACTTTGGTTTGGCATTAGCAAAACACCTTAAGTAGGTTTCCAGGCACCTATTCACCACCTCAGTCTGCCCATCAGTTTGAAGGTGGTAGGCTAAGCTTCTCCTGAGATCTGTCCTCTGTGACTGAAATAGTGCAGTTTAGAAATGACTCACAAATACCTTATCATGATCGGATACAATTGTCTCGGGAAATCCATGAAGCCTAACTATCTTCTTCAAGTAAACTTCAGCCACTGTTTTTGCAGAAAACGGGTGTCTCAGAGTGATGAAGTGAGTGTATTTGGTCAATCTGTAAACCACCACCAAGATGGAATCCCACCCTTTGGAGACTGGGAGGCCCTCCACAAAGTCAAGACTCACAGCGGACCAAACCTTGGTCGGGATCGGCAGAGGAGAGAGTAGACCTCCCGGTGAAAGAGTGAAGTATTTGTTCTCCTGGCAAGTTTGGCATTGAGCAATGTAATCTTCTACAGGCTTTCTCATACCCTTCCAACACAATTCTCTGGACATCCTCTTGTAGGTTTTAAGGATTTCTTCGTGCCCTCCAAGAGGACTGGAGTGAAACTGTTTTGAGTAATGAGGAGATCAGCTTAGACTTTACAGGGATCACCAATCTTGTTTCTTGGTACAACAACCCTTGTTCGTACCGATAGTCACTCGCCTTATTATTCCCTTCTTGGCACTCTTTAATGATCCCTTGCAGAGCCCTGTCTTGTGCTACTTCTTTTGCTAACTCCTCACAGTCCAAATTCAGTGGAGCGATGAGACTCAGGCTAGCAAGCTGCTCTCAGTGTGGAATGCGCGATAGGCGTCTGCTATCCTGTTTTCACTCTCTGGATTATACTCAATGGTGTAATTAAGCCTCAATAGCTTCGAAGCCCATCTCTGCTGCTCTGTTGGTACTGATTTCTGCTCAAAAAGGTACTTTATGCTGCGCTGATCTGTCCTGATTACTACCTTGTTCCCCAGCATATAATGTCTCTATTTATTGATTGCAAACACTATAGCAAGTATTTCTCTTTCATACGCTGATCTAACTTTTCCTTTGTTAGAAAAAGCTTGACTGATGTATGTTATAGGTCTGCCACCCTGAGATAAAACAGCTCTGACTCTTATTCCTGAAGTATTTGTCTTAGTGATAAAAAGCTGAGTGAAATCAGGCAACACAAGGATTGGTAGCGTGAGAATTGCTTCTTTGAGTACCTCAAATGCTTGGCTGGCCTCACTTCCCCGGAGAAACCCATCTTTCTTCAACAGAGCTGTGAGAGGCCTAGTTTTTTTTGCCATATTCTTGCACAAAACGACGGTAATATCCTGTCAAACCCAAAAACCCCCGCAGTTCAGTCACATTTTTGGGCTCTGGCCATCGTTTGATCGCCTCTATCTTGCTTGGATCAGCCGATACACATTGCTTGGACATAACATGTCCCAAGTAAGCCACCTTCTCCTGACCAAACTCGCATTTCTTCATACTGGCGTAGAACTTATTTTGCTGTAGTACCTGAAAAACCAGTTCGAGATGCGGCAAGTGTCTCTCCACTGACAAGCTATAAACCAGGATATCAATAAAGAATACAAGTACAAACTTGCGAAGATAGGCCTGAAGATATCATTCATCACTGATTGAAAAGTTGCTGGAGCGTTGGTTAAGCCAAAAGGCATCACCATAAACTCATAATGGCCTTCATGTGTTCTGAAAGCGGTCTTCTCAACATCCTCCTTCTTGACCCGAATTTGATGGTATCTTGACATCAAATCGACTTTGGAAAAGACCTGAGCTCCCTGCAATTCATCCAGCATCTCCTCAATCACCGGAATGGGATACCTGTCCGGAATTGTGAATTTGTTCACTGCCCTGTAATCCACGCAAAAACACCATCCACCATCATTTTTCTTGACTAAGAGCACAAGGCTGGAGTATGGACTGATACTGGGTCTTAACACCTGAGCCTTGTTGGGATTTATGAGACAAAGCTCAACAAATGGTGGAAGCATTCACTTGGTGAATGAAACCACTTAACCCACACAAAATAAACTCGATCTCAAGAGAGAGAAAAGACCATCAACTTGTGATGGAATCCACACAATAAACATAAGTAGAACCGAATCTATGAGGAAGAAAACGATTCTATAAAGGGAAAGCATCTAGTTTGAGACTAATCTAAGCAATGAACACAACATATAGAAGTTTGTGTTCTTGAGATGCAAGACTCAGTAATCTAGATGAGAGAAGCAAATAAAGAAGAGTTTAGTGAGTGTTTATGAAGTGGTAAGGCTGCCTTAAGGGCAGTCACTACAAAAGATTTTCTCTAAGGACTCTACATTGCGAAATAGAATGAAGAACAAGATAAAAGAGAGAAATCACTTCATTGATTCTGTGTAACATTTACAAGCTCGGTTACATCTCTTTTTATAGAGAGAAAGGAAGAGAGGAAGCCCTAACACATGAGCCAAGACTGAGAGTGACATAAAGAGAGCGTTTTTGTCTTGTTAAGAGCTGAAAGTGACAGCTCATAAACGGTCACATGTGACTAAAGTCACATGTGAGAGCAGACTTGAATTTGAATTCGTTTCCCTCCTCTTCTTGTCACTTATGGGCCTTATTCCTTGCATTCTTTAGGCTTTCTTGGCGTCCTCTTCTTCTTCTTATCTAATGGGCCTCGGCCTTACACAACATTAGACTTGTACGGACACCTCTTGGAGTTGACTTGGCCGTACAGTTCTTCTTCTTCTTTAGGCCGAGGCTAGACTTGATCAATAGCTTCTTCAGCCTTGTCTTGTCTTCTTTTTATCTTCTTTGAGAGATCTTGGAGTTGTCTTCGGCCTTGTCTTGATATCATTGGCCTTGACACTCCTCTTCTTCCTCTTCTTTGACTTGGAGATGATCGGCCTTGTCTTGTTGACTTCGGCCTCACCTCTCCTTTCCTTCTTTCACTCTAATAAGCCTCCAACATCTCTTTGAGTAAAGCTTCTATCTCATTCTTCTGGGTAAAAGAATACTTGTAGGGTTGGAGGTTGATAGGAGTAGTTTTCGGCTGCAGGTTTATGGCGTGCTCACGACTCATGACTGGTGGTTGTTGCTTCGGCATTTGGAACATTTTGTTGTAGCTCTCTACCAACTTTTGAATGTGTGGGTGCACCGTCTCCTCCACACGCTCAGTCTCCGTGTCAAATAGCTCAGTGAGTTCCAGAAAACACACCAAAAAGCGATCCCGAGCAACTTTAATCATCTAATTTAGTGAGATTTGAGATCGAATGAGTGCAGAGTCGCTTCTCAAGGTTATCCATTCGACTCCTATTTTGAAACTTATGGTGTGCAAACCCCGGTTGATCCTGGTATCTCCCAACTTTGTGATTACCTTGAATGGACAAGATCACACATTCACATCTCCCTCTCCCGGATATCACTTGACCATTTTCCACCGAGACTCCAAACCCCACAATATCAGCCACCGGTAACCCGACTGCTCTAACCATCTCCGGTAAGATAAAGTTGCTCGTAGCCCCTGAGTCTATCAGGACTATAACCTCTATCTCTGCAAT